CGTTGTGATACTTTCATTATGTTACTTTTTCTATAAGAAATTTATCCACACGTTGTATTATGATACTTTCATTATGTTACTTCTTTCTATAAGAAATTTATCCCACGTTGTGTTATGATACTTTCATTATGTTACTTCTTTCTATTTTATTACTTCTTTGAAATTTATCCACATACCATGATACTTTCATTATGTTACTTCTTTCTATAAGAAATTTATCCACACGTTGTATTATGATACTTTCATTATGTTACTTCTTTCTATAAGAAATTTATCCACGTTGTACCATGATACTTTCATTATGTTACTTCTTTCTATAAGAAATTTATCCACGTTGTACCATGTACTTTCATTATGTTACTTCTTTCTATAAGAAATTTATCCACACGTTCATGATACTTTCATTATGTTACTTCTTTCTATAAGAAATTTATCCACACGTTGTATTATGATACTTTCATTATGTTACTTCTTTCTATAAGAAATTTATCCACACGTTGTACCATGATACTTTCATTATGTTACTTCTTTTCTATAAATTTAAATTTATCCATTATGTTACGTTGTATAAGAAATTTATGATTATGATACTTTCATTATGTTACTTCTTTCTATAAAAATTTATATGTTACATTATGTTACTTCTTTCTACTTTCATTATGTTACTTCTTTATAAGAAATTTATCCACACGTTGTACCATGATACTTTCATTATATAAGAAATTTATCCACACGTTGTCATGATACTTTATTATGTTACTTCTTTCTATAAGAATTTATTTATCCATGACTTCTTTCATTTATTACTTCTTTCTTTCATTAAGAAATTTATCTATAAGAAATTTATCCACACGTTGTACCATGATACTTTCATTATGTTACTTCTTTCTATAAGAAATTTATCCACACGTTGTACCATGATACTTTCATTATGTTACTTCTTTCTATAAGAAATTTATCCACATTATGATACTTTCGTTACTTCTTTCTATAAGAAATTTATCCACACCATGATACTTTCATTATGTTACTTCTTTCTATAAGAAATTTATCCACACGTTGTATTATGATACTTTCATTATGTTACTTTTTTATAAGAAATTTATCCCACGTTGTACCATGATACTTTCATTATGTTACTTCTTTCTATAAGAAATTTATCCCACACGTTGTATTATGATACTTTCATTATTTCTTCTTTTATGAAATTTATCCTTCTTTCATGATACTTTAATGACTTCTTTTATCCAAATTTACGTTGTATCATGATACTTTCATTATGTTACTTTTTTTCTATAAGAAATTTATCCACACGTTGTATGTTATGATACTTTCATTATGTTACTTCTTTCTATAAGAAATTTATCCACACGTTGTACCATGATACTTTCATTATGTTACTTCTTTCTATAAGAAATTTATCCACACGTTGTATTATGATACTTTCATTATGTTACTTCTTTCTATAGAAATTTATCCCACGTTGTATCATGATACTTTCATTATGTTACTTCTTTCTATAAGAAATTTATCCACACGTTGTACCATGATACTTTCATTATGTTACTTCTTTCTATAAGAAATTTATCCACACGTTGTTTATGATACTTTCATTATGTTACTTCTTTCTATAAGAAATTTATCCACACGTTGTACCATGATACTTTCATTATGTTTACTTTTCTCTATAAGAAATTTATCACACGTTGTATTATGATACTTTCATTATGTTACTTTTTCTATAAGAAATTTATCCACACGTTGTACCATGATACTTTCATTATGTTACTTCTTTCTATAAGAAATTTATCCACACGTATTATGATACTTTCATTTGTATTATGATGATACTTTATTATGTTACTTCTTTCTATAAGAAATTTATCCACACGTTGTATTATGATACTTTCATTATGTTACTTTTTCTATAAGAAATTTATCCCACGTTGTATCATGATACTTTCATTATGTTACTTCTTTCTATAAGAAATTTATCCACACGTTGTACCATGATTTACTTTACTTTCATTATATTATGTTTCTTTCTATAAGAAATTTATCCACACGTTGTATTATGATACTTTCATTATGTTACTTCTTTCTATAAGAAATTTATCCACACGTTGTATCACTTTCATTATGTTACTTCTTTCTATAAGAAATTTATCCATGTTACTTCTTTCTATAAGAAATTTATCCACACGTTGTATTATGATACTTTCATTTACTTCTTTCTATAAGAAATTTTCCACGTTGTAATGAAATTATTACTTCTTTCTATAAAAACGTTTTTATACTTTCACGTTGTATTATGATACTTTCATTATGTTACTTCTTTCTATAAGAAATTTATCCACACGTTGTACCATGATACTTTCATTATGTTACTTCTTTCTATAAGAAAACGTTGTACCATGATACTTTCATTATGTTATGCTTTCTTTTTCTATAAGAAATTTATCCACACGTTGTACCATGATACTTTCATTATGTTACTTCTTTCTATAAGAAATTTATCACACACCATGATACTTTCATTATGTTACTTTTCTATAAGAAATTTATACGTTGTCATGATACTTTCATTATGTTCTTTCTATAAGAAATTTATCCACACGTTGTATTATGATACTTTCATTATGTTACTTTTTCTATAAGAAAATTTATCCACACGTTGTATCATGATATCCTTTCATTATGTTACTTCTTTCATTATGTTACTTCTTTCTATAAGTTAAAGAAATTTATCCACACGTTGTACCATGATACTTTCATTATGTTACTTCTTTCTATAAGAAATTTATCCACACGTTGTATTCATGATACTTTCATTATGTTACTTCTTTCTATAAGTAATTTATCCACACGTTGTGTCATGATACTTTCATTATGTTACTTCTTTCTATAAGAAAATTCTGGTGTCGTCTGATGGGAAAAGTTTATTTTTGGCGCGTTTCATTCCGTTAGGACTTCATCGGATTGGGTTTGTTGACGTGATGTTCTGAAGGATGATAAGCGTCACAAGTAATTTTTTTTTCATTTTTTCTTACAATTTTCTCAATACTGTTCTTCATATATCTAAAAACATATATGGCTATATCATAACTTTAAACGGAGTTTTTGCAGGAGAACCCAGTCGTGACAGTCAGGCAATTTCTGCGACTACATCACCACTTACACCTGGCTACCTAACTCCCCAAATTGCAACACCCTCGATTATTGTGTGTCCTGCGCAGTCAAACGAGAGACCAACAAATCTTCTTGCAACAACAAAGACGATCTGAAGGCAAGGATTATGGCATCATACACAAATTTAAACAAGGAGACCTTCAGAAGAGATGCAGGAGATTTCGAAGTCGTCTGCAGGCCGTGGTTGAAGGCAATGGCGATTTTATTGAATATATTTACTCTTTAGTATTTCAATATATTTTTGTGTAATTTTAGTAAATATATGTTAAAATGAAATATTAGTGTTATTTTCATTTTGACGTCATTTAGACAACATTTTATCCATCGCACCCTGAATATCTATAGAGAGAGATACATAGATAGATAGTTTTGTCGCCATTTACGTGACCATTCAACAAAGAAATAAACAGTTTCACCATTGTTCATCAATGCAAAAATCACATCAGCCAAAAGCAGTCAACCGATAAAAAGCCGAGACAATGTTCTACGTAAAATGGCCGCTTTTAACTAGAATATATGGGTGGAGTTTGAGATAAAGTCTGGGATGAGGTGATGTCAGCGTGTGGTTTCTTAACGAAAAAGAGCTAACGAAAAAGTCACGAAGAAAACCGAGGAATAACGAAATAACGGAAAAGTTACGAATAATACCGAAAGAAAGTAAAAAAAAAATTGAACAATTCCCAGACGAATGCGACTAGCAGGGGACATCCCATTAAGAGAAAATGAAAAGGAAGATATATTTATATTTTAGTTCAGTCAGGGTCGTAGACGAGTACTGCAGTTGGAGCAGCAGTAGTGTTGTGTTTCGGGCAAGATAGCCTAACGAGATTTTGAAAATGTGGCTGTTTACCTAGATTTTTTAATAAATTTTTAAATTAAAAATAGTCACGTATTAAAAAAATGATCCTAAATAAATTACTTTTATTCGATTTTAATAATTTATGCTTTAAAATGATCGTCAATAAATTACTTTTATTCGGTTTTAAAAAGTTGACTAAAAATTTCAAAGTTTGCATGTCGTTAGTTCGGAGGTGTTAAATCGGCGGCGTTGTGTTGGCGATGATGACTCTTCCTGCAAACCCGAGAATTGAACTTACAAACTTTCAAAACCTTGGTAATATCGAAAGATTAAGACGGAATGACTTAAAGAGAAAATAAAATGGCGAGTAAGTTGATGTTTCAGAAGTATTGCAAAACTATATAATAAAAGAAAAGTTGATTTTCTGTCCGCCATACGCTGTGGGAGTGTGACTATACATGCACGTATATAATGCATATGTCTATGTCGTGTGTGAGTGACTGATATCTACTTGTGTCATTTAATGCACACACACACACACACACACACACACACACACACACACACACACACACACACACACACACACACAATGAGATTGAGTTCCAAATAAGATACTGAAATAATACATTCCCCTCACACCCCGTCTCGACAAATCATACCCTCAGAGGGATAACGGACACATCAAGTTTAAACTGTACTATCACCGAAATTAAGCAACTTTGAGCCTGGTCAGTAACTAGATGGGTGACCATTTCGAAATACCACGTGATGTAAACTTGGATGTGATGGTGGTGTAATGGATAATGGCTAGGAATGAGAAATCAGTGCTGAGCTTACAGCCACATCATGTTGAAACATTGTTTCCCCATACGATTACAGAAGTTAAGCAACTTTGAGCCTGGTCAGTAACTAGATGGGTGACCATTTCGAAATACCACGTGATGTAAACTTGGATGTGATGGTGGTGTAATGGATAATGGCTAGGAATGAGAAATCAGTGCTGAGCTTACAGCCACATCATGTTGAAACATTGTTTCCCCATACGATTACAGAAGTTAAGCAACTTTGAGCCTGGTCAGTACCTAGATGCGTGACCACTTGGGAATATCAGATGATGTAAGCTTGGATGTGCGCTTAATGCAATTGATAATGGTTTGGAAATGTTAATCAGAGCCGAATACCAATTTATTTGGTTTTGTTATATTCATTTACACTCCTCTCCCTTCAGCGCATGGTTAATTAGTAAGATTTCTATTACTAAACCATTCTTTTTAAATTTTTACAATCTAAAAATATTTTCTGGCTTTAAATAATATGAAATGGGTTGATAAGCCGTAAAAAAAACGAAATCACCAACCAACTTAATCACAGCTGATCAATCAAATCATAAAGATAATAAAGTTAATTGTTTAAACCTTATAAATATCGAATTTCCCTGTCACTTTTCGAAAACAATATATATATAGTAATTGTTCTGATGAACTGTTATATAGGGTACCTTGATTCTATGAATTTAAGCTCAGTACTAGATTGGTGGCATGGTCTCATCATTTTACAGTTGAAATGGCTAGATATAACCGTAAGTTCTATGCTAATAGTTTCTTCTGTCGCACTTCTCACCTGTGGAACTCTCTTCCGGCTCCTTGCTTCCCAGTCAATTTTGATCTTGAAAAATTTAAATGTAATGTTAATTGTTATCTTCTGCCTTCTTAATTCCTGTTCTTTTATTGTTCTCTCTCCTTAATAGTGTCTTTCCTTGTCATATTCTCTAACACTCAGTAACACTTTGGGTCTTTATAAGATTTTATTGAACATTTCAGAAATTATTCGGTATTAAATAAACTTATTTTTACCGCATTTCTTTTTAATTTTGTCGAAATATTTTCGTTTTGTAAATGAGTTAAAATACGCACAAACGCAAAAGCTGAATAAAATTGAAATGGAAATCTGCCTCGTGAGGGTTAATTTTCCTTTCTGTCTGTCAATTACTAATGGGAGGTCGAGTTTTAAGCCGACAAGCTCGACACTTTGAAGTCCCTTTATGGCTATTTGTGTTTACTTACAGTACCAGTTGCTTTGCATTTGTAGTGTATACTAATACCAAGAAAAATGCGATCACATTGGTGTGGGGGCAGGAGGGATTAGATATGTGGTCTGACGAGTGGTGGGGGCAAGGTGGGCCGCAGCTAGAAAAAGTCTGCGAACCATTTTATTAATTGAGTCGAGAAAACGGCCTCGATGAACGGAACCCGATTCGTATAACAGTTCGAAAAAACACTAACGTACTAAAATGAAAAGTCAAGCGTGAAATCAAATGGTAATAACGTTTGCTCATCTAATACCATCTCATGATTATAGTTATGTTGATTTTAAGGGCTTTGCAGTTTTATGCCTTGATCAATCAGCGATAGAAATGAAAGGCAGTCGACTATGAAAAGTGGTGATCGGAAAATTGTGTTTGGTGCATCAGGAATAACGAGCTACACACGTCATTTATCGGAACTATAAGTAAAACCAATCATATTCACAGAAAGATTAATGTCTGCAACCAAATGATAACATAGTTTTTGTAAATGCACTTAATTCAAAAGTGTCTATTAATTGCAAAGATCAAATATTATACAGTGAATTTTTCAGATCGAAATTCAGGTAATAATTACATGCTTGCTGAAGAATGAAGATCAACCAACTTATACAACGTTCCATGTTACGAATAATACCGAAGAATACCGAGCTAACGAAAACATTTCGAAGAAAACCGAGGAATACCGAGATAACCGAAAGGTTACGAATAATACCGAAAGAAAGTAAAAAAAAAAAAAAAAAAAAAAAAAAATGAAACAATTCCCAAACGAACGCCGCTAGCAGGGGACATGTTATTAAGAGAAAATGAAAAACACATTTTAAACGAATATTATCCCCTAACTCCTGTAAGACATCAATTCTAAAATGTGTTTCATTAAGACGGACCAATCATGACTTCTGCGCAAAGATGACACGCAAATTCATGAAGCGTTCCATATCTTTAAGGACACTTCGACGTGGCGTAATGGTTAGAAAGCTTGCCTCACTAGAACAATTACAAATGAATAGTGAGTTCGAACCTCACTGGATGGCCCATACTTTCGACTTTGTACCACATCTAAGCTACGCTTAGAAAATCTATACAGAAGCATGATTCCATTTGGTAAATCAATATAAAATTTACAATGCTATCAATCGTAATGCGACTTTTGGAACATCCTGTTCAATAAAACCATCTACAAACTATCTTTATTATTATAAAAGTCTGTGAACATTGCTTAAAGCAATATATATATATATATATATATATATACAAGAGGTAATTGTGTATACACAGTATGTCTAAATTTATGTGCTGATCTGCACGTAGTTGTATATTTCTCACTGATGTCATACGTCAATGTTCAAAATCGGTTTTAGGTCATGCTCACAAATACTGATTTTTTCCAAACAACTCGTCATAGAATATTTCTACGCTTCCTTATCTGTTACATATTAATCTTTCAAGATAGATAGATAGATAGTTCGATGAATAAATTGTCGTTAAATTACAGAAAAATGAAAATAACACTGACATATCTTTTTAACAAATATATTTACCAAAATTACACAAAAATATCTTGAAATACTAAAGAGTAAACTAATTCAATGAAATCGCCATTTGCTTCAACCACGATCTCCAAACGACTTCAGAATTTCCTGCATCACTTCTGGACGGTCTCCTTTTTTAAGTTGGTGAATGTCGCCATAATTCTTGCTTTCTGTTCATCTTTGGTATTGCACTAGGAGGTTGCACTATATATATATATATATATATATATATATATATATATATATATATATATATAAAAAGTGTGGTGACATATACGCACATAAAGATGCATATATATAGCGTGTGATGGATAAATTGTGGCTTAAATTATGAATAAATGAAAATAACCCTGGCATTTCATTTTAACAGATATATTTACAAAATTGTACAAAAATATCTTGAAATACTAGAGTAGATTTATTCAATAAAATCGCCATTAGCATCAACCACGGCCTCCAGACGACTTCGGATTCTCCTGCATCTCTTCTGGACGGTCTCCTTGATTAAGTGAGTGAATGCTGCCATAAGCCTTGCCTTCATTTTATCTTTAGTGTTGCAAGGAATTTTGTTGGTCTCTCGCTCAACTGCGCCCCACACATAATAATCAAGTGGGTTGCAGTCTGGGGAGTTAGGTGGCCAGATGTAAGGGTTGATGTAATCGCAAAAATTGTCTGACAGCCATGACTGGGTTCTTCTTGTGTATGGAATGGTGTAGAGTCCTGTTGTCAGACACAAAGTCTTTCAACAGCCGCCCTCTTGACACAGGGCTGCAATATCTCCTCAAGGCACTTGATGTAGGCATCCGTATTGAGTTTGTGGTCCTGTGGGAAGATGAATGGAGGTATAACGTCGTCACTAATGGCCACTCCACACACTTTACACACATTCAACTCTTTCCGAATCCTCTGCGCTGCTCAAACATTCTGAAATGTTCATATTGGAGCTTCCGCCACAAATGCCAAGCAGTACAGAACGCCGTTTGCAAATTTCTGGCGGAGTGAATTGCATCATTGTGATTTTTTCTCATAAACGGTGCCCAACTGATCCTACTTTACTTTGCAGTCGACAAAATAAAAAAAAACAATGCGCATGCGCGAAATTAAAAATATAAAATGGCAACGACTTACCCCACTCCCACTTGCTTTCTCATTTTCTCTCTTCTTCCTTCACTGTCCTTCGCTCTCCTTCTCTCCTTCCAAACTTGCCCACTTTTCTACCTCCCCTTTCTCTCTCCCCTTCCTCTTAATCTTCCCCTCACTCTCTCTCCACTGTTCTTTTCTTCTCTTTCTTCCACTACAACCCTCTCCCATTCTCTCTCTATAAAACTGTCTCTAATTCCCTCTCACTTTTTCTCTCTCCCTTCTCCTCTTCTCTTTCATTTTTTTTATTCTCTCCCCTTTCTCCCTTTTTATCTCTTCGCCCCCCTCTCTCTCTCTCTCTCTCTCTCTGTCCCTCTCACGCCGGCTTTCTCCTCTTCTCTACGTACCTCTCTCATCCTCACTCACTTTTCTCTCACACCTTTCTTTCCCACTCCCATTCTCACTGTCCTTCTCTGTCATTTTTTCCTCCTCTCACATTTTTATCTTCCTCCTCTTACTCGCTTTTCTCCACTTTCATCTCCCTCTCTAGTTCTGTCCACGTCACTCCCAATTTCTCTCTCTTTTTTTTAACCTGATGAACGCGTACTTCTTCTAACCTTCCTAATATCGTTCTGATATCTTCAAATATGGAGCAATGTTCAGGTTTTTTTTCACCCACGTCCCGTTTGTCTTTATCCCCATCTCTGTAGCTTTGATATTTATCGATCATTTGCCTGTCAGCATTTATTTCATTCCCCATAGATTTATCAATCCAATTCATATTGGTATCACTACAGAAGTTTCAATTCCTTCGACCTCATTATTTCGCTACATCATAGGATCTATCTATCTATCTATCTATCTATCTATCTATCTATCTATCTATCTATCTATCTATCTATCTATCCCAGTCTCCGTACATCTATCTATCTATCTATCTATCTATCTATCTATCTATCTATCTATCTATCTATCTATCCCAGTCTCCGTACATCTATCTATCTATCTATCTATCTATCTATCTATCTATCTATCTATCTATCTATCTATCTATCTATCCCAGTCTCCGTACATCTATCTATCTATCTATCTATCTATCTATCTATCTATCTATCTATCTATCTATCTATCCCAGTCTCCGTACATCTATCTATCTATCTATCTATCTATCTATCTATCTATCTATCTATGTTTATTCGTGCACTATTTTCATATGTCTATATCTACGCCTTTCTGTCCATATCTATCTACGTATCTATTCCACATCTCCGTACATCTATCTATCTATCTATCTATCTATCTATCTATCTATCTATCTATCTATCTAAACGCGTTACTTCTTCATCATTGGCATATTTTTATCATAAAAAGAATTTCTGATACCAGTCAAGCTTTCACATTCCACTATCTTTTGTCACCATCACAGCTCCACCTCGAGGCAAAGGAAGAAACGAAATGTCATCGTTTTCCTCCTAACTTACTTTATACCAACACGATATCAATCCTAACTGCGAACATTCTTTTCATTATTATTATTATTATTATTTTCTTCTTCTTCTTCTTCTTATTATTATTATTATTATTATTATTATTATTATTATTATTATTTCTTCCCTTTTTTCTTTCCATTTTTTGCTTTCGTTTCTACGTACAAATGTTATCTTTTACTTTCAACAATATAATTTTTTCCAAATTCTTTCTTCCGTTTTTATTCATTTTCTTTCCTCGTATTTAATTTAATATTTACTCGCACATGGTTTGTACGCTTTTCTTATATTTTTGACTGTGTTATTATTATTATTATTATTATTATTATTATTATTATTATTATTGTCTTCTTTTTATCATCTCTCAATTTTAAATCTTTTCTTCTTGAAGCTGATTGGCCAACGTCAAATGTCTGCGTGGCCAGAAGCAATCAGATTCATAAAATGGCGAAACTTAATTAAACGATTAAAAACATTTTTATCCAAGTGTCAACTCTCTTTATATTCACAAGTAACTGTTTCTTACTTTTTTTTATTTATTTATTTTTTGTTTGTATCAAATTCTATTATCAGCACCCAGTTCTTTCCTTTGATACGGCATTTGCCGTCACCACTTCTGAGTATTCTATTTTAAAAATTATTTTATATTCAAGCGGCTTTATCCTTCTTGATTCTTTAAATTTTCGTGTTCAATGTTTATTATTTTCTTATCATTTTTTTTCTTCTCACCATTTAAATACGTCTTTCCGTTCCCGTAATTTTTAAACTGTTTGTTAGCGGATCAGCAGGATATAAAGTACAGTTTCAATTCTCTAAGGAATGATAAGGCATTTTTTTATTATTAGCTTAAATGTACTCAAAAGATAAGTCCGAGATCCGGGTCAGATTTAAACTGTATATATATCGTACTACCGTCCTGCACATTCGAGAAAACTTATTAAAGAAAATATGGTAGCCGGTACGATTTGAACCCGCCAGTGATAATATCAGTGAATCGATAATTTATGCAAATATCAAACAATTGGTTGATTTTGGCATATCAACCTCTCTGGATTATTTAATGCCAAAATCTAAATATTTTGGACGTAATTTTATGCTTTCGGCTACAGATATTTTGTACATAATTTTATACGTTCAGGGTAAAGGTATACTTTTAAATATATATTTTGTAAATCACGAAGAGTCCCTTGTAAGTAAGTCAACCGATATTAACGTTAATTGTTCTCTAAACGAATGCTGAAAGATTCCTGTATGGAAACGCCTAATCTCACCATTATATTTAGAAATGTTAATTCTCATATATAGTAATAAATGCTGAAGAATTCCCTCAGAGATGAAAAGCACCTAAGTCTAGAAACAATATTCTGATATTTAATGCATAGCCGGATTTTTTAATTATTTAATGCCGATATCTAAATATTTTGTACATAATTTTATACTTTCAGAGTAAAAGATTATTTATTAGATATACACTTTTTAGATCATAAAATGTATTGTTGATAATATTACTATAAAAATGTATTTTTATGTATTTTTTAGTGTTGTACTGAGTGCCATCTATATATATATATATATATATATAAAGGACAGTGTGTACGTGTCCCCAGCTAAAACTAAAGTACTACAATAGTTATGTCAAAATAAATATGTATACAGACTCATTATCACCCAAACCAGCTTTTTGTAAAAAAAAAATTGTCATCGTATGATTTGTATTTACGAAGATATTTTAAAAATAAAATTGTCATCGTATGATTTGTATTTACGAAGATATTTTAAAAATAAAATGCATTACAATGCATTCGAAATTCTCAGAATTAAAAAGTAAAAACGAACGGTAAGAATTCTTATTCTCGAATCGGATTACCGTTCGTTTTTACTTCTTTATTCTGCTAAACGCTATCCAAGTATGTATTTTTAAAGTTTCTGTTGTCCTAAATTTATTTTTACATCTATAGTTAACTTTAAAAAAATGAATATTAATATAACTTTAAAAAAATGAATATTAATATATTCAACGTATAGCCGGATTGTTGAATTATTTAATGCCAACATCTAAATATTTAAATTATTTAATGCCGACATCTAAATATTTAGATTATTTAATGCCGACATCTAAATATTTTGGAAGCAATTTTATGCTTTCAGGCTAAAGTTTAGTTTTTTTTAGATATATAGTTTCCAGGTGATAAAATACTCTGTAATTTAAAAAAAAAAAATTATTGCTGTTAATTTTACTACAAGAATTTATTGTTTGTAATCTTTTATAAAAATGTATAACTGTTATTTTTAATATAAAAATGTATTTTATATTATTTTAAGGTCATATTGTCATTTTACTATAAAAATGTATTTGCTAGCCATTTTACTATAAGAATGTATTGTTGATCAGTTTGTTTAAAAAATGTATTTTTCGTAATATTCTATATATAAAATACTATGACTTGTTAAGCCTTCTGTCCGTTGCACCGTCTAAAATAGTCATACATATTGACCGTTCGAAACCAAATTTGGGGGATAAGTGCAAACTGTTAAGTGGGTGCAAAGTACAATTGGTTTGACTAGCGATAACTTCAACAATACTAAATACTAGTTATTCTTTATGTATATATTTATGTATTTGTTATTTAATTTGCTCTCATGTGTAAGGTAGTCGATATGCCAGTTAATAACACATGATGACCATTTAATAACATGAGACTTGAATCCTTTATATTTAACATTACATCTTATTTCACACCAATACTTTGTCATTAAATCTCAATCAGCGTGGATGTGAAGCGGCCCACAGAGCCGATACGTTGACCTTACATTCTCGAACTGCGATATATGAGAGACTGCTCAACTCCTCTCTTTATAAAATAATCTGTTCAACGGTTTTTCTCACATGCACTCATATCATTCACAGCCAGGCCCACAGGTGTTCAACTCTCGGGGTCACCAGTAACAACGCGTCAATCGCAGACCTACACACCCGGCTAGGGGTTGTCTCAGGTCAGTTCTGCATAATATATGTGAACTAATGAACAACAAAAGATTGTAGCCCTTCGTTATTTAACCTTGCTTTTTATTTCACAATACTACATCAATGTATAAGTGCAACCCCACATAACTGTTCGATCCAATACATGGACCTGGGTGGCTGACCTTTAGACAATGTTCGGACGTAGTGGCGTGGTCGGGCGTACGTCAGCCGCCTGCCGTGTCGTCCGGCGAGAAAGTGTCAAAATCAAAAGTTCACATGACAGCGGACTCCATGTCTTTGAAAAAGCAAAACGTTTAAATCATCAACTGATGATATTTGCCGACATGAAACATCATTTGTTGATGCCTGCTATAACAAAAAGGGTTATCAATTGTAAACGATATTCTATTGAACATCTTAGCAATCTTAAAACAAATTCAACACATACATGGATACGTAGATATATATATATATATATATATATATATATATATATATATATATATATATATTTAAATAAAACAGACCACTTTAAGGTTCCATGTAATAAATTATTTCACCACAGCCCTTTTAAAGTTTTTACTTCCAAAAGTTGAAACGAAAAATGAAAAGAAATTTAGACATTTTTGACGGGCCGTATTAAGCATATGTAAATTAACGAAGTGAGGAAGTGAGCGGGGAGAGAGAAGACATGAGGGAGTTAGATGTAATTTAATATTTCTATTCTTTCATACTTAAAATTACTTGAGGAGGTCCAGACATTGACATATTTAAACGGTTAACTTAACGGAAGTTATATATTGATATAGAAGGGGTAGAGAAGAAAAAAAGACATAAAAAGAAAAAGAGAGAAGGAAGTCATGAGAGAAGGTGTCATTTTGCTTTACTTAGAAAGTGTTATTTTGGGGGTTCATAGAGTGCGATGAATAAATTATCGTCTAAATTATTCAAAAATGAAAATAACACTGACACCTCATTTTAACAGATATATTAACCAGAATTACACAAAAATATCTAAAGAGTGAATTTATTCAATAAAATCGCCATTGGCTTCAATCACGGCTACCAGACGACTTCGAAATCTTCCGCAGCTCTTCTGGGCGGTCATCTTGTTTAAGTTGGGCGGAAGGCTTCCGAGAATTAACTCAACGGTCAAGGTAGTGGTTTCCCACCCTCAATATGAAATTAACGGCCATGTGTCCGTTAAGAAGCAGAACTTTCAAATATGAGTACATCGGCTGTACTCTGCTCTAGAGAGAGATAGGCTCCGTCAGGTCTGCTTTGCCCAAGACAGTCTACGCACGAATGAATACCTACTGATACGTGCGGAGGGACCTTGTCAGATGCTTCACTGTACAGCGACGCTACGACCACAGCCGGTCATGTGACAGTTGAGCAGGCGAAAAATAGATTCACCTCATCTGAAACATGATTCAGATCTCTATGGCCATTGACAGTCTGCCAAATATATTTTCAAGTTACCTTATGCGATTTTTGAAGACCTAATATGGAAGCAAATTTTAAGGGAGTCGCATAATACACGAGATATAAAATTAGTTACGCCGTTGATCAAACCATATATCCATTTACTGTGGTCAAATGTACAGCTAGTTTACTGTTGTTTTACTTAACTCTATCCAATGATAATGCATGTAATATTCACATATTAATATCGTATTATAAAATACAGCCATAGCGGATATGCATCTTTTTCCATTGTTTACGTTTATAACATGTTTAGCTGTTTCTCGCTCGGTTGTTTATGGCTGGACGCGTTTACGCAACGAATATAGCGTTACTAACGATACTTTTATCACTCTCTTTTACTTTTTAAAGTAGAAAATAGGATAAAGAAAAGAGGAAAAGTGGTTAGTCTATTGTAATTTGGTCTCTCAAAAAAGGAACTCGCATGATACACGAGATACATGATAGAATCATTTTTTATAAGTGAAAATGTGGGGGGGGGAACGCGATACCCAAGCTCGTGCGTTACACAAGTATATACGGTAATTGTTAATGTCCTTTCAGAACGCAGTCCAGCGATGGCAACGCCAGCGGTCCTCTGTCGGCAGCCACCGGCAGGCCATCGGCAGGCCACTGTAGGGCCAGCGGTGGGCCTCTAGCGGTCAGTCATTGGTAAGATTGCCGAAACAAACACGCCGGTGGTCAGACAGCGGGCTATCAGCGGTAAACGCTAGTGGCATGCCACCCAGTGGCAGATTGGTGGTTTGCGTATTGCATTGGTGCTTTGCATGCTTTAATTTCAGCAGGTTTGGTTTGGTTTAGTGTGGATTGTTTTGTGGCATATCACCCTCAATGGGTTATTTAATACCAACAAGATTTTTATTGCTTGTAATTTTTTTTTTTTTTTCAAAAATTTATTGCTGGTAATAATTTTTTACAAAATATTTCTGGTATTAAAACCTATTTTTACACATTCACAGTGTTTTGAACCCAGTTTGTTGATGGGGGGCTGGGTAACTATTTGCCCATAGCTGGGACCCTAAGAGGTGCTACTACCTCGGGTCAGGGTGGACCTAGGAACACCAGAAATTAAGAGGTGGTTCCACGCCTCACAAAACCTCCTGGTCAGAAGCCTTGCTGTCGGACGCACTTTATCGTCATACCCAGGACACGGATGTAGTTTATCGTCATACCCAGGACGGAATTTCAGTAGGCAGATAAGGGGTTGTATGTTATTGTTCCAAAGAACAGTTTCTTTAATAATTGTTTTCTTCTTCAAGAGATGTTGAGAAATATTTAATTCCTTTTCTTTCATTTCAGGCGCCTTTCTCCTTCCATATGTCTTGATGCTTATAATGGGTGGAATTCCCCTCTTTTACATGGAGCTCGCTCTCGGCCAATTCAACCGGTCCGGTGCCATCACTTGCTGGGCCAGAATTTGCCCCTTGTTCAAAGGTAAGTGATCATGTTATTTCCCTTGGTTATTACCACCCTTGGTTATTACCACCCTTGGTTATTACCACCCTTGGAATAGACATTAATTTTCTTAATTGAATCAATTTCATTATTATACATTTCTAACCAATATTTCTTCACCTCCAAGTCCTCCTCCTCCCCTCTTCTCCTCCCCCTCCACGACAGTTAAATGAAAATGCCTCAGATGATAAATTTAAAGATATTTCTAGTTAATCCTACTAATGTATGAGATGTGCCTCTCATGTGCCCTGTCCCTTCCGAACGTTGGTGATCATGGCTCTCCACAACTTCTCATCTTTTTTAATTCTAAGTAATATTTATCCTCTTACTATCCCTCCCAATTCCTGTTCTGTCCAGCATTTACATACGTTTGTTAGGAATGTTAATGTTTTCTTCAATATGTACTGCGAGTGTCAAATTCTCGAAGCCCGCTTTTCTCATTATGTGACTTACGGCCAAATCATGTTCAAACACCGCTTCCCTTACGATCCCCGAAAGTTAAGCAACGTCGAGCCCGGTCATTGCCTAAATGGGTGACCGCTTGGGAATACCAGATAATGTAAGCTTGGATGTGCGGGTGGTGTAATGGATGATCGCTCACAATTGTTAATCGGAGAGCCGAGTTCCACTTACCGTCGGGTTCGTTATATTGACTTGCGCGCAAATACACTTGGGAAAGGTATGAATCGACCGCTTCTTCTCCCTCTAGTTATGGGTTAATTAGTAAAACGTGTATCACTAAATCATTATCTGAAAAAAATTATTGCAATCTAAAAAAATTTTTCTGACCATAAATAACCTAAAAAGGGTATCAGCCCTTTTCAGGTTATTTAAAGCCAGAAAACGAATCAATCAATCAATCGAATTATGGTGATTTTCCCAGCGTAGCTTAGATATAGCATAACGCCGTAGAATCGAACTAGTCAGTAGAACTGATCTAGCGAAACCAGCTTACTAACCATTAAGCTACGTCGAAGTGTCCATTTTCTAAGCGTAGCTGTAGATGTGTAGATATGACACAAAGCCAAAAGTATGGGCCACTTAGTAAGAATTGAACTCACTACTCAGTCGTAATTGATCTAGCATGGCAAGCTTACTATGGATTACGCCACGTCGAAGTGTACATGATGATTTTCTAAGCGTAGCTTAGATGTGGCACAGGGCCAAATTTATGGGCCACCCAGTTAGAATTGAACTTACAACTCAGTCGTAATTGTTCTAGCGAGACAAACTTACTAACCATTGCACAACGTCGAATTGCCCAAACAATTTCATTATGTATTCTAGAAATTTCAATCGTCTCTTTTTTATCCTAAACACAACTGTCCTTTTCATTTTCATTTACCTTTAAACTCACGAGGTGCTCAAATATTTTGTCCACTGTATTCTCATTATCCTCCTGTAGAACCTTAACTCCTTTGTTTATTCTTCGTCTATGGGGGTAACTGTCCAACATCCACTGCCATATAAGAAATTTGATATGAAGTAGTTATTCAGATAGTTAATTTCAGGTTCTCGCTTTCGAAAGACCATGCATTCTGCCATCTTATAATTGACGATTAGTCCTTTCTTCTTGCTTTCGTTCACAGTTGATTCATTTCTTCTCACTTTACTACATTGTCTAGGAGTTCCTGTAGATTTATTTCTGTATCCGGCCATCAATAATGGTTGTTTGCTCGTTTCTGGGCGTGCCTGTCTGCTACGGTGGCTAACCAAAGCCTGTTGAAGACGCTCAGGCACATTTGGGTTTATTCAGGGCCCACATAGCCGACATATAGTTTATAAGCAACTTAGTACTTAGATCATTACTCAATTTTCATAATTTAGGTGCCAGAATAGTACTCAAGTTGTTTACATGTAAGACATTGGTCTAGAAAAGAAATCGGTTTAGAAAAGAAAGACGTTTAAATATCCTACACGGGAGCCGCTAGTGGCCCGCTGGCAGGCCGCTGATGACAACGCCAGCGGTTCTCTCGTGGCAGCTATCGGCGGGCCACCAGTGGGCCTCTAGCGGTCCGCCAGTAGTAACATTGCCGAGACGAACACGCTGGCGGCCGGAGAGCGGGCCACCAGCAGCAAACGTTAGTGGCATGCCACCCAGTGGCAGATTGATGGCTTGCCTGTAGGTTATAAGTAAACCAGTATAATTGGTATAAAATAAACTTATTTAGTAACTCTTTTTGTTTAATTTCTTGTTTTTGTCTTTTTTTAGTCGCTTAACTGACACCAGTTGCTTAATGTTTAGTCAAATTTAAGTACAATTGCTTACAAACGAGTTGCTTATTAAAAATTATATTTTATATTTTTCTTTATAAGCTTTTGTCAAAATCGGAATGATTTATCTCCCTTTGTAGAGGAATTCTCAATGAGAAAACTACATATGGTTCATAAAAAGAATAAATTATTACATGAGTGCAAATGTTCTTTTGGAAGAATGAGTAATGTCGTCTTAGTCACAAAACAATGTTTCGTAATCCCAGTTTAAACCATTAACCAATACATTAACAAATAGTTAATAGTAAAGAACTTTTTATTTGGTAAAAAAAAAAAACATGAAAAAAAATAGCTCAAACAAATGTTTGAGGAAAATTTAATTTATATGAGCACACAACAAAGACGACACGAGCCAAAATTAATGAATACAATCTAAATTTATTATTAACACCTAAAAAAGAATGAATTACACAAATGAAGTACATTGTGTGCCAAATGATTACCAGTATCATGTATGTAAATTATAAATGTAAATGAAGTATGCCTTTTTACAATAAAAATGATAATGCTTTATAAGGTCCTCAGAAAAGGTAATTAGATTCTGGATAGTTTTCAAAGAATTGGTTACTTTCCTAAGCAATGTTCGCGACATAACAGCGAAGAATAGAACAAGCACACCAGCCGGAGACTTTTCCTTGATGTTGGACAACTTTGATTTTCTTTTTATTTCTCGGTTGGAGGTGGTCAAATTTCTTCAGTTTTCTTTTTCTTCCTGAAACGAGTCGACCTGGCTTCCTTAAATAGATGTTCGTCGAACCCGAAAATTAACTCCAAGGACCCATTTTTATAACCTACAGGTAGGCACCAAATCCACTTCTCGAAATTTGGAGAGAAACCCTTTTATTGGTTTTGAATAAAAAAAAAAATGTAAAAAAAGTAGGTCTTTTCGAATTTCAAAAATTAAACAAGGGCTCACCGTAGTGTCTGCTTCCTCTCTGAAAGGCAGACGATACACGCTCAAGCAGCTTAAATTTCTTATAATAGCGTTAGCTCAGGCGAAGTTTAAAATCAACCGATATTCAGACTAATTGAACGAAGGGATGAATAAATAAAGAAGTTCGAAAGTTTTCAGCGCGCTTTTTTAAAAACTAGAAGATTATTTAATAAGCAGAAAAGCGACAAAAGTAACAGAATCGACCCAAGTGGCGATGACTAAATGCTCACATTGAAATATCGAAAACTATTTTTTCATGCGAATGCTTCTAGTATTATGTCCACTAACGTTTTCTTTTTTTTTTTTCTTTTTTTTTCTATTTGCCCCTATGCTATGGACACTACTTTGAATTTCATTCTTCTTTGACGAAACGCTATGTTTGAAAGGCCCTTTCAATAGAATTTATCGTCTGTCATTTTGCTTTTGTGAGTTTCTCTTTACTGGATTCTGTAATTGACCTGTTAGGAATTAAAGACGTAAGATAGATTCAAAGGCTTATGTGACGTCATGTCAGAGTCAGTTATTCATTGGTTGAATAAAATTGCGTTTGCCACAGGGTTGCTTTGACATGTAATTTCGATGCTTTGTCACTGTTCTTGCTGGGTAGTCTATTGTGTGAATGAGATTAAATTCGGAATGGAAAAAGAAAGAAAACGAAACCAGAGAATATAAGATATAATAGGAGAAAGAAATAAAAAGGGACTTATCGAAAAAATATTGAAATAGAGAACGAATATTCAGAAAGAGAAAGAGGGAATACAAAAATAAAGGATCAATAGAAAGAAATAGGGGGGAAAAGATGAAAAATAGGATATATATATATATATAAAGGAAGGAGGGATGGAAATAAACTAGAGAATAATAAAGAAAATTGGATACAATGATAAAAAAGAATAGAAAGAAATAAAAGCTAAAAATGAAAAAAAATAATGGTTAATGAAAAATTGAATATAATAATAATAAGAAAAAACAAAGAGAAAGCAAACAGCAAGAAAATGAATGACGACAACTTGGGAATGTAAAAGAAAACTGGATATCCGAGAAAAAAAAGGAAGAAAAAGAAAAGAAAATGAAGATAGACAAATCGAAAATGAAAGAAAACTGGATATAAGAAAAAAGAAAGAAAGAAAGAAAAAAGGAAGAAAAAGAAGAGAAAATGAAGAAAGACAACTTGGGAATGAAAAAGAAATATAGATATAAAACAAAGAAAGAAACAAACAAACAAATAAAAAAGAAAATAAAATAAAGAAAGACAACTTCGGAATGTAAACGAAAACAGGATATAAGAAAAATAAAGAAAGAAAGAAAGAAAGAAAAGAAAAAGAATAAAAAGAAATTGCGAATCAAAAAGGAGACTGGATATAAGAAAAAAATGAAGAAAACAGAAAGAAAGAAAAGTTGAAAGAAAATAATGAAAAACTTTTGAGAATGCGAGAGGATCGTAATGTCTTACGACGCCTGGGATAAATTAGAACCTTAACGCAAATGTTCAAAAATAGACTAGAATTTCAGGAAGAAATTAATGAACAAAGCAATGTGTAAATGTCCTGTCGAGCCGTACTATCAGCATTTTAAAATAACTTATCTCGATGTCGAAACTTGACTTGAAACAAAAAAGAAACGAAAATTAGATATAGTGAAAAAGAAGAGAGAGAAATAAAAAAAAGGAACGAGAAAATGCGGAAAGAAAAACAGCATAAAAACGGTAACCGGAGAGAAGAAAAAAAAAGTAGTTGCAATTGAAGAAGGAAAATAAAGGAATGAAAAATAACAGTGAATACAAAAAATAAAAATTAAAAAAGAGAAAATGAAAAATACCGAATGAAAACGAAATTGGGTAGAATACGAAAATGATGGAAGAATGGGAAAGGAAAATAAAAAGAAAGAAAATAAAGAAAAATAAGGAATGAAAAATCAAATTTGGGTATAATAATTCAATTTCTGTACTGACCCAAATAACTTTAAAGAGAGAAAATACATTTTGACCTGAGAGACAAAGAACATTGTATAAAAACAATGGAAGCCTAAAAAGAATTGAAGGAACATTTGAAAGAATATGTAGAAGTAACAGCGTAGGAATTCACACACACAAAAAACAAAAAAAAAAAACTTTAGTACATTATTCACAAACCTTAGAAAAAATTCCAAAGCACATGAATTAACATGACGAATATTGGTTAGCATTTTAACACCTAAATTTCTATTTCCCGGGATAGGATTTTTTTTTTTAATTAAAAAAAAACACCCTACGGAAAAATTAGTTCAAACAAATGTTTGAGGTACAAGTTGTACACAACGAAGCCGACACAAGTCGAATTTAAAAAAACATGCAAAAATTTTATTCTTAACACGCAAAAAACTGAATTACACAAGTGTTTTGTGCGGCAAATGATAGCCAGTAACGTATGTAAATTGTCAATGAAAATGAAATAAACCTTTTTACAATTCAAATTATAATGCTGCATAAGTATTCCGAATAAAAGGAGAAATTTCCATTGATCGGCTTTTTCCAATGAATTGCTATTTTTATTAAAGCCCCCCCCACCACCACCACATTCAATCATCTTAGTTACTTCATTTATCATAAACATTTTAACAGCAACATTCTACCTTGCACTGGTGAAATTTAGAAAAAAAACGATCTCGTTATGAAGATGCAAATGTGATGCAGCAAAGACTCCTGAAGCTAGATTCGAAAGTTCTTCTACTTCAGACTAAGGTTCGCGTCATGCAACCCTCATTGTCTGGTGCCCCCCCAAAAAAAAATGAAAAAAAAATATCTACTGTGGGTACCATGATTGTTATCTGTACGGAAAGTAAAATCATTCACTTTCACACTAATTACAGTTTGAAAGGCATGAAACCATTTGTTCTTTCCCCAGCAATAAATTAAATAGCAAACCAGATTGGAAAACGTGTATTTTGGACAAACGTCAGTCTAGGAGAAAAAAAAACAACTCAAAATTTAAATCCATGGAGAAGGAAACCACACCATTTCATTTATGTGCGTTCACGATATGGGCAATGATGGGTCTCTACAACTTCTTATCCTTTGTTGCTCATAGCAATGGGTGTCCTGTGGATGCGCGGGTGGTGTAATAGATAGCGGCTCCGAATGAGAAGCCAGAAAGCCGAGTTTGAATTTCAGTCGGGTTCGTTACGGTCAATCACGCACAAATACTCATGGGAATGGTATGACTCCATCTCTCTCTAGCTACGGGTTAAATAATAGTTCTTTCTTACTGAGAAAGAAAACCATTATTATCCTAAAAAATTGTTATTGCAATTTCACTTCGTCGGAGAAGAAATGATATAGGATGGAAATTGCCATGACATTAAAGTACGGGGGTGTCATCTACCATTACCTTTGCATACTGCTATCGGATGACTATATATATATATATATATATATATATATATATATATATATATATATATATATATATATATATATATATATATGTATGTATGTATGTATATATGTATATATATATATATATATATATATATATATATATATATATATATATATATATATATATATATATACATATATATATATATATATATATACATATATATATATATATATATATATACATATATATGTATGTACACACACACACACACACACACACATATATATATATATATATATATATATATATATATATATATAAAGAGTGCGGCAAAATGATCTGACACATTTGTGGGTTTAATAAAAGCTAAATAGAGTAAAGAACGAAAATATGTTGTTGTTTTTTTTTTTTTTGAAAAGTACACATAATGCCATTTTGTTTCATTTCGTTTTAAAGATTAAATCAGTCAAGTGGGTGCCGTTACTTTCCACAAAATGTCGAAGGCGTTTACGAAAGCTGTCCATAACTCTTACATGTCATTTCATGTGGAATGGAAGCAATTTCGTGATAAATGGCATCTTTTAATTGTTCAATATACGTTATGTATTTTTGCCGTTAAAGTGTAATCCTTTCCTTTCCTACCTTTTCTAAGAATTCGCACCGTTTCCTTTCCGTGTCTTCGTCCTGGGTATGACGATAAACTACATCCGGCAGCAAGGCCTCTGATCGGGAAATTGGAGATTTTGAGGAGCGAGAAACCGCCTCTTAATTGCTGTTCTTCTCAGGTCCACCGTAACTAGATTAGTAACACCTGTCCCAGATATGGGCACATAATTAACTCCCAAACAAAGTCAAACATTATGAAAGTATAAAGATATATTTTTAGACATAAAATACTAACAATACATATTTATAGTAAAATTACCAGCAAGATCTATTTATAGTATATATTTAGTTGAAGCCATACAATTGTGTTCACAATATTTAGATTTCGGCATTAAATAACCCATAGAGGTGTTGATATGCCACTAAACAAAATCAACTAAACAATTTTGTGTGTCTGTCATCAACACAGTCGTCTGGGGATTTTATGTTGCTATGATCGTGTCTACCAATGAATTTAAAACGGCACAAGTGAAAAAATAGGAAAAAATTTCCATCTGATAGTAGTTGATCTTACAATCTATTTTGAATACATATATCCTTGGAAGCAAATATTCTCTTTCCCTTTCTTACTTAATATGACTTCTATGATGGGGTTGTGGTAGAAGAGCAACTGTGATCAATGGCGTGTACCTGACGGTGACCGGACAGCTGAACCAGAAATAAATAAACAAACAGCAACAGTCCACTGGTTGGAAATTTAACTTTAAATCTTGTTGATATTTCATTCTTAATATTTTTTTTATTTATAGGTTTAGCTTAGTGATAAGGCTGCAACTTCAACTTAAAATTAATGAAATGAAATGTGCCATTATTATCTGTGCCATTATTAGCGTTCACCATCCGCCATTATGTCTGGCAATCTTCCTTGTAAAGCATGAGTATTTGATTAACAAATAACTAGGTATTAAATGAGTAATGACTTTTGTTTTACAAACACGAATAAATCACCCACCTTTTTTCCATAGTAAATGCTATATATTTATCTACTGGAGAAAACATATTTGTACACAAGGCTTCCATGTTGGGCTACATTTGAAAGAAGAGCGCTACTAAACTTTGAACTTCTCTCCGTACGACTTTTAAAATAAACTTGGCTTACATGGTCTGCTAACAAGAAGAAAATCAGTTCAAAACTTAGTCATGCTCGGTTTTAAGATCTACAGGTTGAGTATCCTTTATCCGAAATTCCAAAATCCGAAAAGCTCCAAAATCCGAAAGTTCTTTCCGTTGCTGACATGACTTGCCACAAATGGAAAATTTCAGAAAGCACCTGGAAAGTTCATAACTTATGTGCAGTTGTTGTCAGTGACCTCCTCTGCCCTGGTTGGGGGTCCCCTAGCCCAGTTACGTAACCTACGTTAACGCCAGTATTTTGTTAACGATCGTCACAGCAACTTCTTCATTAGTGGATTATTTACCAGCGCTCAGTAAAGATATTATTCAAAATGTGAAAAAGTCCTGCATTTATATGTATTTTTGTAAATAGTGATCATGTTTTTTTACTTTCAAGGTATTTATATAAAACTACCTTCAGCGATTATGTATAAGGTGTATTATGAAATGTAAAGGGATAACGTGTTTATGCTTGGGTTCCATTCCCAAGCTGGCACATTTTATAGATGCCATATACAAATTAAATAGAGTGTATTCCCAAATCCGAAAAATCTGAAAACCGAAGTACTTCTTGTCCCAAGAATTTCGGCTAAAAGATTCTCAACCTGTCGTCCCATTCTTAATCTGAGATCCCTGTTTGTAGATCATCAATATTTGATTAAGAGGTGCGTATTTATTTTACAATTAAGTCATAAAAGAATTAAAAGTGGGATCATATTTGCTCTACAACTAAGTCATAAACAGACCCCCTATTTTTTGCCTTAGGAAATTTTATTTATCTTCTCTAGAAAACATATTTGTAAGCGTCGTTGCCTACATTAAAAGGGTGTTCATTTTTAAAGAATTAAAAGTGGGGGTCACATTTGTTCTACAACCAAGCCATAAACAGGTCCTCCACTTTTTGCTTTAGTAGATTCATATATTTCTCAACTGAACAAAACATTTGAAGGTAGATTTACTTTTGCATGCCTAGTGCTTCTAAATTTTTAATTTCTCACCTTGAGATTTCTAAAATACGATGGACTAACTTGGAGTGCTAATGAGACAAAAGTCAATTCAAAATCTTATAGCTCTCGACGCTCAAATGTAGATCAATTCGCTACTATGTACTTCAATTTATCAACCAGGCCTACCCACCTACCAAGTCTGTTTGAAAACACTTGCTTCTTTAATTGCTTGTTTTTCTATCTCCATAGGTACGCATTTTCGCGCACTTTCGCGCGCTTTCTTTAGCAATCTATGTGCCGGTATTCATTGGCTGGTTCTAACCTGCGCGTGATGCTACTTAACATATGTTGCGCCATCACCTATTTTTTGTCCCTCTCCCCTCAATACCCGACTTTTACACACACACGCATGCGCGTGCGCGCACGTGTGCACTCTCCTTCTCTCTCTCTCTCTCTCTCTCTCTCTCTCTCTCTCTCTCTCTCTCTCTCACACACGCACACAGACATCCACGCACATCGTTCCCTTTTTCTCTCTGGCAGTTTTTTGGTTTATCTTAATTTAAATGTAGCCTGAAAAACACTGATCGTGCAGTGTACCCTGGTAATGACAGACTGCAGATCAATACAAAATGGTTGGCAGATAAGCGCAGGCAAAATTAAAACACTAAAAATAAAAAATAAAAAAACAGTTTGTCGCGTTTCTTTTCCTTTCACCTTTCTTTCTTTAAGTCTCTTTCTTTTCTTTTTTGTTTTTTTTTCTTTATTCATTCTTTATTTTTTATAAATTCTTTATATTTTTTTTTAAATAATCTTTTTTCTTTATTTTATTTTTATTTTTGTAAATATTATTTTATCTCAATGTATTTCTCTCATATTTTGTTTCTCTTTGTTCGCATTTTATTCCTTTTTTTCCTTATAAAATAATAACTCTGTCTCGCATTTCCTTCGTTTTTCATTTCTTATACCCCCCACCTACCATTCCAGTTTTTCAATCATTTTTCTCTCTGTTTTACATCGTTTTGTCCTCGGAATACTTCTCTTTTAAATGTTTTCTTTTCTTTTTCTTTTTCTTTTTTTTCCATCTTTTCTTTCCGTTATGGTTTGCCTTTTTTTCTTTCTTTTTTCTCGTTCTTGTTTTCTTTCTTCTGTTTTCTTGATACCTCCCCTTCTTAGCCGTTTTCATTTACTTTTCTCTTTTTCTTTCTTTCTTTCTTTTTTTCTTTCTTTCTTTCCACACTTTCTTCCTTTTCTCCCCTTTTATCAATACACCCTCTTTCTCTCTCTCTTTTTTCTATCCTCAATTGAAAAGTCGCCGCCCTTTATCTTTCCTTGTGTTTCCCCCTTTCATCGAATTCTTATTTCCTCTTAAATAAGTTTATGCTTCCTTTCATTCGTCTTTTCTTCTTTTTTTTCAAAATTTTCTTTTCTTCGCATTTTTCTCTTTTTTTCACATTTTTCTCTTTTTAAAGGTTTTCTGTTTTTTTGTTTTTTTTACTTTTGTTTCTTTGCCCACTTGGGCTACTTTTCATGGTCGTCTTCTATGTGACGTGTCCCTTCAAGACGTTAGCGATCATGCCTATGCACAATTTCCCATCTCTTGGAGACCTCAGCAACGTTACTCCCTTTCCCAAGCAACCGTCATCTCCGTTCCGCAATCCATTCGCACAAACTCGTCACGTAGGTGTGCCGCTGACTCCCACCTATCTCCATTGCCCTCGATAGGCCCTGTGAGACTTTTCAAAGCCACCCTTCTTTTCAACTACTCAAGTACAAGTCTAAGCGCCAAGAAAAAAAGGTTAAAATTTCTAAAAACAAATGGCAAATGCCGATAATGTGTTCTTTTCTGTATCCTTTGTAGTTTTAATGAATCTTCCCGTTCTCTCTCCTAAACCCTATTCTGCTATCCATTTACACAAGCTTCTTCTCCTCCTCCTCCTCCTCCTCCTCCTCCTCCTTCTTCTTCCCCTCCTCCTTCTTCTTCTTCTTCCCCTCCTCCTCCTCCTCCTTCCTTCTTCTTCTTCTTCTTCTTCTTCTTCCTCCTTCTTCTTCTTCCCCTCCTCCTCCTCCTTCTTCTTCTTCTTCTTCTTCTTCTTCTTCTTCTTCTTCTTCTTCTTCTTCTTCTATGTGCTGCGTCCCTTCAGGACGTTGGCGATCATGTCCTTCCACAATTTTCTGTCTATTGTAGGTTTCAATAAATGTTGTCATTACCTCCCCTAAACCCTGTTCTGCCATCCATTTACTCAAGTTCACTAAATATATTATCCATTGTTTCCATCTTTCCCTCTTACATTTAATCTGTCATATGAGTATCAAATTTTCCAAGCCCTCTTTCCTCATTATGTGTCTTTTCCTGAGAAAATGTTTAAGTTTCCTTTTTGTTTCCATTTTCGCTAAAACTCCAACGTTGCTCACGTGTTCGGCCCATAGCATACTCAGTATCCTTCTGTAGAACCACATTTATTTTGCTTCAAGTCTCTTCTTTATCTGCAAGGAGTTTGTCCAGCATTCGCTGCCATATAGGAGGACTGATATTACATAACTGTTCAGTACTTTTTTTTCTTTGTTTCTAACGAAATTTTCCGTTTCTTAATAATTTGCTTAACTTCAGGCAGGCATTTTTCGACAATCCAATAATGCTGAACAATTTTCTCAAAGTTAGAGAAGAAATCCGAGACCGACAGAAATATGGTCCTTCAGAAGAATACTAAGGATACCATGGTCCGAACATGCGAACAACGACGAGGTTTTGGAGAGAATGGAAACAAAGACGAAACTTGTACTTAACATCAGGAAGAGGCAGCTCAAATTTCTGGGACACGTAATGAGGAAAGAGGGCTTAGAAAATCTGATACTCACAGGACGGATAGAGTTAAATGGGGTCAGGGGAAAGAAAAGCGTGTCATATTTAACAGGCTTGAGCAAGTGCATGCCAGAACAGGGTCTGAGGGAAATAAGAAAAACGACAAAATTTATTAAGAGACAGGAGGAGAGGGAGGGCCATGATCGCCTACGTCCTGAAGGGACACGGTACATAAAAGAAAAATGCGCCTTTGGATTGCGGTGTCGGACTCTCCGTCCTTTGTTTAAAAAACTCCCTAGATATTTAAATTATGAAAATGAATTTTTTAATTTTCCTCTATGGGTTTCTTAAAAAGCAAGCTAGGCTAATTTTTGGGTACAAATAAGATAAAATTGTCAGTTAAAAATTTAGTCATGCTGGGCGTTTTTTTATTTGATTCCAGATATTTTTCTGTTATCTTTTTTCTTTTTTAATTTACATTTCTTTTAATTTTAATTTTCTTTCTTTTCGTTTCCTTGCTTTACACGATTTGCATATTTTAACTACCTCTTTCTTATTTCGTTTCTTTTCTCCATTTCGTTGTTTCCTCACTTTTCTCTTTCACGTCTTTCTAATTCTCGTTCCGAATTTTAGTAATAACCGCTACCTTCTCTGGTCATAAATTTTTGTTTTCTTTTTTAACGTTATTTTTCTGCTAATCTTTCACACTTACTCCCACCCACATTTCTCTCTCTCTCACTCTCTCTCTCTTCCTCTCCCCCTCCCCGATCGGTAGCTGACATTTTCAGCAGATCTTCCTTCTATCTTGATTCCAATATCGATCCGCTAAAAAGCTATCAGCCATTTATACCTCAACTCTCACCCTTTCCCTTTTCTCTTTCACTAACTTTATATCACTCCTCCCACTTCCTGTTTTTCTCGTTCTCAAATTATCACCTCTCTTCTCAACATCACAATTTTCTCTTTCTCTAATTATACATCTCTCCTCCCAGCACCCAGCTTTTTTTCTTTTTCTCTAATTTATACCTCTCCTCCCACTCTTACGTTTTCCCCTATTTCTAAACTCTCCTCCCACTTTCCATCTTTTTCTCTTTCTCGAATTTCTTCATTTCTATGTTTCCCTCTATTTCTCCTCTTTTTTTCATCTTTCTTAATCTATATTTCTCCATTTTTTTCTTTAATTACCGCACTTCCTTTCAATGGTTTTGTCAATCTTGTTGATATTTCATTCGTAACATTTTTTTTATTTATAGGTTTAGCTTAGTGATGAAGCTGCAAAAAGACAAACTGAAGGTCGATAATTGCATTTAAAGAACAGGCTATTATAGAATCAGACCTTTATCTAAACATGCGCGATACTTGTAGCATTAGCCTACATTTTAATAATAAAATGTCCCACATTTTAATAATAAAAAGTCCCTGATCTAAAATCCAACAATATCAAACAGTTTTAATGCAGATACAGATCAAATATTTTAACAGACATATTTACAAAAATTACACAAATATATATTGAAATACTAAAGAGTAAATTTATTCAATAAAATCGCCATTGGCTTCAACCACGGCCTGCAGACGACTTCGGAATCACCTGCATCTCTTCTGGACAGTCTCTTTGTTTAAGTTGCTAAATGTTGCTATAGTCCTTCCCTTCAGTTTATCTTTGATGTTACAAGGAATTTTGTTGGTCTCTCGCCAAACTTCGCCCCACATATAATAATCAAAGGGGTGGCAGTCTCGGGAATTACGTGGCCAGATATAAGAGGTGATGCCGTCACATAAATTGTCTGACAGCAATAACTGGGTTCTCCTGCTTGCGTGACATGGTGCAGAGTCCTGTTGCTAGATAGAGGCTCTTCCAGCAGCTATCCTTTTGGCCCAGGACAGCACTACTTCCTCAAGGCACTTGATGTAGGCCTCCTTGTTAAGTCTGAGACCCTCACCAACAAATTCGGGAGTTCTTTTCTTGTTAGAGAGGTCAGAGTGAGTTTTCCGAACTGTTGTTCCTTCGTAATCACCATAAGACTCATCCAACTCTTTCCGATTCCTCTGCAATGTTCGTATTGGAGCTTTCTGTGCGCATGATAAGTAGTACAGCATGCCGTTTTCAAATTTCAGGCGGTATGAATTTCCTCATGGTGCGTTTTTTCTCACAACGGTGCCCAACTGACCCTACTATACTGGGCAGTCGACAAAATCAAAAACAAAGGAAGATATAAGATGGCGACAATTTACCCATCGCACCCTTTATTTTTAACCTGTGTACATTTCACATTTTTCCGCTTTGAATTTTCTGATGAATCTTAATTCTTTAGTTAAGGGTTGAATAAGATCATGCTGAGTTTTATAACGATGAAATATCTGTAGAAATTCCCCTATCGCGTCGTTAAATATTTGAGCTTAACGACTTTAACAAATTATTGCAATAACAATCAAATGAAAAAATTTGAAATTGATAAATTTTTGCATTTCACTGAAACAGACGTTAAACACTTCTATCTTCCGTTCTTTCTTTTGTTTTCTGACAGAAACAAAGTCGTTTCTTTGATATCTTTTGTCGTCTCACGCGATCAAAACGAAATAATCTATTATTTATTAGGTATTGGCAGACGTTAAATACTTCTCTTTCTTTTCTTCACTGAAACAAAGTAGCGTCCCTGATATGACTTTTGTCTTTCCACGCGAGCAAAACGGAATAGCCCATTATTTATGAGGCAATGGCAGGATGTAACATGCGAACTAACGAAGGGAGAGACAAACACTTATTATGTGATTCATTTTTTTCTCTTTCTTATTGTTGATTTTATGCTACAACGCACTGGGTCGACACATATTTCATTATTACTATAATTTTATTACTTATTTTATTCCATCTTCTTTTTTTTTTTTGTCGCGAGAGTTTGCGTCGATGCACTTGTATCATTCTACGTAGCGATCAGTTTTGTTCCAAACAAATATAATAATATATGGATTATCTCCCTTTTCTGACTACTGTTGCTAAAATCCAGACGCCATTTGCGATGATTCGGTTGCAGCATGGAGACCTTCATCGGCCGTGCATCATTTCAAATTCTTTGCATTGTGTTGCCCATGCAATTCGAAAACTGTATGATGACCTCTCTATTAACTCTAACAAATGAATCTTAGACAAAGACAGACGCTAATTAAGAATTTCATAATTTCAATCCAACAAAGAGAAACTAATTTATTTTATTAGTTGCGTGATTTAATTTTTCATTATTTCATAACTATGATACATTTCTTATTGAAAAAGTGTTTCAAATATTTATATTTTAAAAAGATTTGTATGTTAGTGTAAAAATTAATTCTACTTAATGCTTATTTTTTAATTTGTATATTTTTTTTACTTCTGGATCTGCGGATGGTGGAATGGATAGCGACTTGGAACGAGAAATCAGAAAGCCGAGTTCGAATTCCAAATACTTATACCTTTGTGAATGCTTCTCTCCGCCCAGCTATGAATTAAATAGTAGGGCAGACTAGGCTCTTTAGATATTTGGCATTGAACTACAATAGTAACATGCAAAAGATGCTTCATACTAGACAATGGATGAAATCTAATTATTCCGAGTCAGTATGAAACTATGGAGATCACTTCTCAATTCGGTATCTATACTGATGACATAACCATTTATTTCTCCCTTGCCGAGCATGTGAGCAACGAAGAAGTCTTAGAGTGGATGCAAACAAGGAGGGAGCTTATGCTTAACATCAGGAAGAGGCAGCAGAAATTTCTGGGACACATAATGAGGAAGGAGGGTCTGGAAAATTTGATACACGCAGGCCGAATAGAGAGACAAAGGAAAACAACTCATGACATGCCTAGCAGGCTTGAGACAGAACGTGGTCTAGGGGAGATGGCAGAGAGAAGGAACTTGTTAAGAGCTGCAAGGGAGATAGAGAGTCATGATCGCCTACGTCCTTAAAGGGCATGACACATAAAAAGAAAAGAATAGTAAGTGATTGGTTTGATAAGGTCAAATTGGCAGCTGGTCTAAAAATGACCTATATTTTGTTGTTAAATGGGGCAAGGAATGGCTTGTTAATTTTAGCGCCTCCAAAACTAAACTGTTCTCTATTAAAAATCAAAGAGAACTCTTTTTGCCTTTTATCAGTATGGCTGATGCTAACCTCCAGGAGAATGACTCGTTGCATCTTCACGGTGTAACATTTTCCAATGACATGAAGCTGAAAGATTATATCTGATCAATTGCTAGGTCTTCAGCTAAGAAAATTGGTTCCTTTTGCGGATGTAGACAATTTGTTATTCGCGAGAAACTATCTTACATATCTATGTCTACCATGTTTCGAATATTGCTGCCACATATAGTCTGATGTCCCCTGCTATAAATTTAGAGATTTTTGATAAGATCCAAAGAAGAATCTGTAATGTTATTGGTCCTGACCTGGCATCTCGACTACAGCCAGTAATGTAGATCCCCTGTACCTTTTCTCTAAATACTTTCATGGTAATAGTTCTGGTGAACTTACTTCTACGGTACCTAAACTCCATGAATTCATGCTTAAACGCAATTGTCATATACCTTAAAACTACATTTTTTATATATATATATATATATATATATATATATATATATATATATACACACACACACACACATACACACACACACACATATATATATATATATATATATATATATATATATATATATATCGAAATAAAAGTATAAAATTTAATATTACAAGACATATTAAACAATAAAAAATAATGAAAAAAAAAAAACCAACACAACAACAGGGGGGTAAGCAACCGGTTTCGCTCCCGCTCTTCAGGCTTCCACGGGATATTCAAAATTAAAACAGAAAAATGTACAATAAGAATAGGTAAAAAAAAAAAAAAAAAAAAAAAATGCGAACATCTTTTAAATAGAAGAGATTGTGCAGCCAAATTTAGTGTTGACTGGTTCACCGTGCTGACCCGGTCACACTCTTTATTTCATCTGAATGTTCTGGAGGCACTTTACATCGATCATTAAATTTTGTACCTACAAAAATATCTTTAAATATATATATATATATATATATATATATTTAAACTGTACCTGTATTCTCATTTTCCTTAAAACTATCCCGTTTATCTAATGAAATTTGAAGCAGTTCATACGTAACGATTAAACTAACAAGCGTGTATCGAATTATTAATACGTTTTGTTATTTTATATGCATATTAAATATTTGGTACCTTTTTTTTACCCCAAGCAAGGCAGGAGTGCCACTAGCACGCAAGGGGTTACAGAGAGTGAAAGTAAGAGAAAAGTGGGGTGTTGAGGAAAGGATAAAGAGAAGGACGGGGAATTAGATCAAGGCATCAGATGTCGATTGACATTACAGTTACATTTTTGAAGGAGAGCAAGTAAGAGGAAGGGAGTTCTACTGTCGAAAAGAGAAGAAGCTGTTGGAGTAGAAAAGGCTGTTACATTTAACTGTTTCGTCAGTCAAAAGGTGGGACCGCGATGCCAACCTAGTAGCACGCTTAAATTCACGCAGCGGGGGTACCAGTGGAAATAGCTCGCCAGAGCAGTTGCCTTGGAAATATTTGTAGAAAAGCCACATCACGTCTCTGACAAAGTGACTGGAGTCGAGATGTATTTTATACACACTTCAATATACCATCTCTTGTGGAAAATGATATTTTATTTAATGTGGATTGTTCGTTATAGTAGAGAGTTTGTAATCGCAGATACAACTATAGTTACGCCGTTGAACAATGCTGGTGTCAGACGCCTTCGAATATCACTCGCACTAATAGTACTTGCTCGATAATACTCGCTCGAATAGTAACCACCGTATAGTGATCCGAATAGAGAAATAGTGTAGTGAATAGAGTAAAGAATAGCGGCCCGTATAGTATAGAGGATAGACTAGAAATAGCGATCAATCAAACATCACGCGACTTCCTACTTATGCGTTTTCTCTATGGTCACGTGATCTACTTTATTCAGTAATGGGATCGCCTGTGTTTGCTCACTGGCGATCTATGTTCAAACTCAAGTGTAGGCAGCGACACTTTATTCGTATATAACAAGTACACAGGCTGGTAGATGAAATAAATACTGCTTAAGGTAAACAGGGCTTCTACTCAAATAACGGTTATCCACTCAAAATCGCATTTGAAGAAATACATATGTGTGTGTGTGTTTCTTTTACTCATTCTGTATAAATTGTTGTAAGCGGATAAACTGGCCAATGCTCATGTTTGCTTCTGTCGCTGGTTACGT